GTGATTAACTTATTTAGAGATGGTATAATTTAAAATAGATGGTATTTAAGGTAGCATCAACTAGCTTTTAGGAAAATCACTTTTGTCTAAACTCTTTCTAAAAAGAAATCTTTTCTGTTTGTTAGAAAACAAAATTTTATTTTATGCTCAATTAAGTTTCAAACTTTTATTTTTACAGTTATCTTGATAACAAAGGAACTAGAATGCTTTACTCCATTCCCTCATTAACTTTTGCATGAATATCATACAAATCAGTTAGCTGTTAGCTCAAGGGCTTACCGTATTTCTGAGCCTTTTGCTAACAAACTCCCATTAGAAATAGTACCGGAATTTTAGGAACTACAGAGATCGTGTATTGAGATTCCTTAAATAAGGCTTCAGATATTACTTTATTGCTTTTTTGTATTGGTTAAAACTGTACATTTAATATTGCTGTGTTACTATTTTCTACAATTAATAATTTGTTTATTTTAAAATAAATTAGTTGTTAAGAGTCTTAATGATCTGTTGTGGTCTTTGTATTAATTGCACTAATGTTCTCTTATATCTAAACTCTCTACTGGTATCTCATCTGTTCTTAGCCTTAGTGGGTTTTATATGCTGATGATCCCTAAATTTACTTCTCTAGCCCTGACCTCTTCACAAAAGTCAAAGCTCTCATAGCCAATAGACCTCTTCATTCCTACTCCTCCCCGCTCTCAACTAATTAGTATGAACCAAAATCAAACAAAAATACCTTGTTTCTACCCTAGTCTTTCCCCATTTTACTAAACACTTGCTTGAGCAAAAAACCTAAGAGTCATCTATTAATTCCTGTCTGGACCACCATTAAAGATTTCTAAGCTCGTTCTCTCTCTCTCTCTCTCTCAGACAACCCAGACAAATAAGTCTCCATGTTTCCTCTTTCCTTTTTACCTTTCAACTCCATAAAGAACAAAAATGATCCCGTTAAAATGTAAATGGATTTTCATTGCTACCCTACTTGAATCATTCACACTCCTTATCTTGGCCTGTGAAGTGGCCCTACCTCCTCCTCCATCCTCACCTCACTTTTCTGCTTGCTTCATGTGCTTTAGCCACACTGACCTTACTCTAATGATGCCAAACCTGTCCCTACAGCTCAGGCTTTTATGTTTGCTATTCCTTCTGTCTCTAGGTGCTCTTTCCCTAGAATTTTGCCTTTCAGTGCTCAGAGGATTTGTTTGACCACCCAAGTATGTAGAAGCAAATAATATTCCCTTCCTCTTTTCAGATGCCATGTACGTACTATATTCCAATCATAGTTGTAAATGTGATGATACAACAGTTAATAAAAAAAACTGCCCTAACCGACGTGGCTCAGTGGACACAGCATCGGCCTGCGGACTGAAGGGTCCCGGGTTTGATTCCAGTCAAGGCATGTACCTTGGTTACGGGCACATCCCCATTGGGAAGTGTGCAGGAGGCAGCTGATCGATGTTTCTCTCTCATCAATGCTTCTAACTCTCTATCCCTCTCCCTTCCTCTCTGTAAAAAATCAATAAAATATATTTTTTAAAAAACAAAACCAAAATCCCATCTTTGTGGAACTTCATTCTATTTCTAGTTTGGGGGAAGTACAGCAAGTGAATAAATAAATGTGGAATACATAATATGTCCAATTGTATTAAGTACTTTGGAGAAAGAGCAGGGAGAGGATAGGGAGTGCTGGTAGGGAAAGTTTTAAATTTTCAGTAGAGTTGTCAGGGAAAGACTTGCTGAGGTGATACTTCAGCAGAGCCCTGAAGGTGGTGGGAGAGGGAGCCATTGACAGGAAAACAGTCCCCAGAGGGGGAAGCCAGAGCTAGGCGGTGGGAATCGTCTGGTGCTGTGGTTGGCAAACTGTGGCTCGAGAGCCACATGCGGCTCTTTGGCCCCTTGAGTGTGGCTCTTCCACAAAATACCACGTGCGGGCGCACACATACAGTGCAATTGAAACTTCGTGGTCCATGCGCAGAAGTTGGTTTTCGGCCTGGGCGAGTCTATTTTGAAGAAGTACTGTTGATATTTGGCTCTGTTGACTAATGAGTTTGCCGACCACTGGTCTGGTGTGTTTGAGCAATAAGGAGTCATAGAAGAATGGAGAGTTGTAAGAGGAGGAGTGGTGGAGCAGGTATCTCTCTTAATCTAATATAAAGTTTATATGAAAGGCCTTTCCTCCCAAGCATCTTTTATGTATATAACAAACCCACAGTTCATCTGCAATTCTGAAATCCAAAAGGCTTAAAAAAAAAAAAAGGAAAGAAAGAGGTGGAGCTCTGGCTGGGGTGCTAAGTGGTTAGTGCATTGGCCTGCTCCGTGAAGGGTCGTGGGTTTGATTCTCAGTCAAGGGCATGCACCTGGGTTTCTGTTTCCTCCCCATCCCCAGGTGGGGCACGTGGGGAAGGAAGGCAACCAGTCTATATGTCTCTCTCCCATCGATGTTTCTCTTTCTCCTCCTCTCTCTCTCCCTCCCCAACCTCCCTGCCACTCACTCTGAAAAGTAAAGGAAAAAATATCCTCAGGTGAGGATTCAAAACAAAACAAAACAGGGTGGATAGTTTGTTCCTGGTGGAAGAAAGGCAAATAAAGAGGTTAGAGCAGGAAAAGCAGCAAGCATACTTGAAAGGACTGTATGTTGGATGGAGATCTTATATGAAATGCAGTCTCTTAGGGTAAGGCAAAATCAAGCAATTTATGACACTAAAACTTCTTAATCTAGATAATAAAAATAGATCACTTCTGGCAATTTAGCATTTTAGAAATTAAAGTTATTTAAAAAAACAAGTTCAAATTCATATATTTTCATCACTTTCCCAGTGCAGATGTTGGGGGAGGGGGCACAGCCATCTACATGCTAGTTCTGTTACCATTTGCATGGATTCATAGAAACTTGCCTGTAGAAGCATATTTTTGTTCCTCATTTTGGAGCCAGATAGTGTACCCAGCATTGGCTAGGTAACACTGTATAATATTTGAATGGAATTAAAATAGGCTTTTTAAATTCTTATAAATCCTTTTTTTGTATCCATTATTTTGGGACTATACTTATATATTAGTATTGCTATATATGACAATGGTAGTTTAATATGAATGTTAAGTTTATTCCACAGACCAACATCAGGTACTTCCTGAATAGAAAATTTTGGGATTTTAACTGAATTTAGTGAAAGAAAATCAGTATGATTTGTTTCTATGCTTTGGCAAAGACTGAATTAAAAATAACAGTAAGGTATCCTTTTTCCTTTCTTTTTACAATTCTCCCAACCTATTTGTTGTAATAATAGGAGGGGGAGTCTAATAAGAGACAAGACTGTGTAGTTTGTCATTGCTTCCTTTTCATTACTGGTCAAGAATTCTATTTCTAAATAAAACTCACCAGGTTATGGTTCAAAATGACTGGCAGTTTCTTCCAGTCTCAGCTGAAGAACATTAACCTTTACTTTTAAAAAAGCATGGATTTGTATTTTCATAAAACATCTATCAGCAGATGTAAAATCTGTAAAATCTTAACTTTTCTCTGTAAATTAGGGTAAAATTATTTTGGAAGCATTAAAACATTGAACCTCCTCATGTGAGCAGAGTCGAAACAAAAACTTAAGGATAGGAAATCTAAGATGAAAGGAAGGATCCATCCATCCATAACATTCTTATGTAGTGTTATTATGAAAATGTAACTTTTCTCTCTCATATCCCTAATTGAACAGTAGTGTTTCTGAGACTCTATCCTCAAAGACCAGAGAGAAGCATGTTTTTTTCAGAGAGATGCATCCACTGGACTCATATGTCATCTTTCAAACGTCTATAATTAGCCCTTATTGTTTGGAATCGGGGATTTTAAGCGCTCTCATCCTTGGCTAAAAACATCAAAAATACTCTTTGGTTACATATTTTTTAATATACTGAATTAGAATCCTTGAATCTATATTTTGAAAAAGTCCTATAGCGTATTCTGTTGTACCCAAAGATACGAAGCACTGAGCCATATAGCAGTGCAGACCTAACATAACAAAGTGTAGAAAGAAAACCCAGATACAAATCCACCTGACCCTCCTTAATAACTTGTACTCTGGCAATATGGCTATTGACTCATTGTGGAGTTTGGTAAAGGGTGGTCCATTTTGCATCCTTAAATAAACTTACCTGTTCCCTTTGTTCCAATTTTTACACGAAATGAGTTCGTAAAAGAAAAAGGCAGCAAGGAGCTTCAGAAGACCCTATCAGACGGCAAGAAAGAGGAAAGGCTTTGGAAGACACTATGAAAATGTGAAGGTTTTGGTCAGTTACAGTGAGCATAGGAGGGTGAGGAGGAAAAGTCAGACATGAAGACTGGAGTTGTCCAACTGCGAGAACTGACAGCTATAGGTAATAGCCAGATCTGCGTATTTCTTTGCTGGATAAAATAGCAAATCTACCAAAAAGTGGGGGAAAAGGATATATGGTAGATTTAAAATAAATAACTGAATGAGACTATATAATTTCAGAAATAGGATTGCAATTTAGAACTAGAGGCATCCAGATTACTTAGCCTCTACAAGATAAGGTGTGCAAAACTGGATAAACAATGAAACTAAGGATTCTAATGTGACCTCACCAATAAAGAACAGCCACAGGCAATAATATGAACAGTAAGTTGTTTATAACCATTTGTTTTAAGTGGGCTTCAGTATGCTACCTTATTTGAGTAACTGCTTTAAAATACAAGCTCATATCACATGGATTTATATACATAAGGCATAAAGTTGATGCAATTTTGCTGTTTCTTAGGAATTAAAAAACGTGGATATAAAGTACAGCATAGGGAATATCATCAATAATATTATAATAATGATGTATGTATGGTGCCAGGTAGATACTAGAAATATCGGGGGGAACACTTTGTAAAGTACATGATTATCTAACCAGTATGCTGTACACCTGAAACTAATACAAAATAATATTGAGTAGAAACTGTATTTGAAAAAAAATTTAATAAATTAAAAATACACATCTATTCTATTATATTCAAATAAACACTTTATTATCAAATAGTTCAGTATCAGAACAAGGTTTCTAGTTCCAAGAGTTTTCTTTACATAATATCATATTGTGAAACATATTAGGAGGATCTGATACTATCCTATAGCTCATTCTAGTTTTTATTTTGCAGTTGGGTAACTTGTTTTTTACCTAAAAAGTATAAATTTATCTCATTCTTCTTAATGCTGTATATGAAATGTAAGTTTTAGTGCCTTTTCAGCTGGTATTTTATAATTATACTGTACCAGGTTAAGAGACCTGATTTCAAGTGACATAAAAGTCAATTACAAGAAAAACACAAACATTTTTATATACAGAGGCAAATCTCTCAACACAAAGGCAAAGGACATTTTGCAATTATGTAAGGCAGGTGAGCCCAGAAATAATATTCATTCAAAGATAGTACTTCATATTCAATAATCCCATAAGCGAAATCAATGACTCAGAGTAAATAGAAAATTAAAGTTAGCCCTTAGGCCTTTGACAATTTATTTGCCAAGGCCTTTTGTGAATTCTAATTAATGCTCTAAATTAGCCACTATTTCTCAGAACGATGCACCAGAAGAATATGAACCTTAACAGATGCATGCTGTTTTAAATTTATCCCACCAAAAAAAAAGTTATTCTCAGGGCATACTTAAGATTTATAATAAATTAATTTAGTGCCTACTATATGCAAGGCACTGTGCTGGATGCTGAAAATGTGGTGGTGACAGCATTCCTTGTCATTATGCAATATCAGCCTGTTGAATAACAGAACATTTGACCAGACTAGCATATACTTAGACCAATATGCCAAAAGTGTCCAACTTAAGTGACTCAAAAGAGGAAATGGTAAATATAATAAGACATTTTAATTGTTTTCCCTGGAGCTTAGTCACATCTGATCAGAGTGTTTAATGCCTTTTATATCAACTCTGGATTTCAGCAGATGGGGAAGACTGACCACCATCCCTCTTTTGACAGAACGTAAGTATTCAGCCAAATGTAGCTCATTATTAATACTATTAAAGGGAAGTTATTCTCTGGCTTTTAAAGGGAAGACAGGAATGCTAAAAATGTTTTCCTGCAGGTGAGGATCAATTTTTAAAGGCTCCAACTCTGCTTGCTTTGCTGATAAAGTTCTTCAGGAGATCATGGTCCATTTCTGCAAAGCCTGAAGTTTGTGTTACTACAGTCAAATGGTTTACACAAAACCTGAAGCAGAATTCTTCCAAATCCTAGGAACAACAAAAAAATATTTTAACAAGTTCATATTTTCCAATGTAATGCAACGTAGAATGAAAACACACAATCAAGGAAAAAGGATTTGATAGCCAATAGGAAGACATATTGGTATGGCAATACCTAAAGAATAGTTATAAAACTATAGTGCTAATATGAATCGATGGTTGTAAAAATGTAAATGACAAAGTAAAACATTCAGGTTCCTCCACACCAGCCAATACCAGAAATAGGCACCTACATGTCTGAATTCTGTACCTTTCACAGTGAGAGAACTAGTATTACTAGTATTTGTACTGTTGGTTCCACTTTCAGTATTTGTTAAAAGTATGACATTCCTCTTTTATATTCCCCTAGGGCAGAGGTGGGGAGCATCTGGCCCACGGGCCATATAAGGCCCACAAAATCATTTGGTCTGGCCCTGCCAAGGCATTAGGGGTGAGTTAATTAAATGTTTAACCAAATATAGCAGGTTAATTTTTAAGTTGATAATTTTATATGGCCCGCCAATGATGTTATAAATATGTAAATGGCCCTTGGCAAAAAAAAAGGTTCCCCACCCTTTTGTTTATTGTCTATATTATTTTGAATATAATACAAAGGGAATATAAAAGAGGAGTGTCATACTTTTAACAAATTCTGAAAGATGAGATGGTTGTTCCATCAGACCCTGATTACCTTCAGTAATCTTAACTGGGAAAATGACATCATGACTTTCTCCTAAAAGAAACTCCTCAGATTGGTGTTTCTGCTTTACTATAATTCACTCTGGGCCAAAGAATAGTCCTGTAGTACTTCTCTTTATCAGATTTGTAAACTTGAGACAGAATGAAGGTGGCTGGATGCTTTTTTGGCCCCAGACAAATTAGAGCTAGAGGCCAGCTGGCGGAGACTCCAGTTGCCTTTGACCCTGGGCTATGCTGCTGTCTTGACCCAGGACAAGGTGCTGCCAGGTAGAAGTCAACCCAAAAGTTTCTGCTGTATTAGCTGAAACTGATTTATTTAAAAAGCCCAAAATAATGTCCAAGCAATCACATATACACATTACACATATAAATTATAGCAGATGCTGGAGATGAAAACACAGGCAAAAATTCACAGTAGTAATAGCCATTCCAATCAAATTCACAGTATCTTTTAAGTAAAGAAACAAACTACATGAAGAAAATCTATCCATTTCACCCCTAAACAGCTACGTAGGCTGCTAGGGTCACAGTGGCAATATGACATCTCTAAGTCCTTGGTAAGCCCTAAGTGATAGAACAGCCAAAAATACACACACACACTCAATATCAGAACATGTGACTATACATAAAAATGTGCTTCATTAATATATAGTGAATATACCAACATCCATTTGAAATTATGGACTCTTGCTTAAATTTTTAGAAATGACATTTTTGCCTATAGCACACTGAAGTGAAACAAGACAGCAAATACACTGTTCTTTATGAAAACCTGTATTTTATGTATACATATGGTCTACTTTACTGATTGTCTCTTATGTAATGTAGGTACAACAATTAGTTAGATGGGCTATAGTAAAATACAGTGCCTCTACAGGCAAAGTTGAAATTCACTAAACAAACATTTCTTTTTCTTTTTTTAAAATATATTTTATTGATCTTTTACAGAGAGGAAGGGAGAGGGATAGAGAGTTAGAAACACCGATGAGAGAGAAACATCGATCAGCTGCCTCCTGCACACTTCCCACTGGGGATGTGCCCGCAACCAAGGTACATGCCCTTGACTGGAATCAACCCTGGGACCCTTGAGTCCGCAGGCCGATACTCTATCCACTGAGCCAAACCGGTTAGGGCAGAAACAAACATTTCTTGATATGTGTCAGGCACTATCCTAAGCACTAAGGATTTGGTTGTGAGTAAAGAAAAGTCCTTGCCATTCTTCAAGGAGCTTACTTATTAGAAAACAGAGAGCTGGAAGGTTAACCATACAAATAAGGCACATAAGTAAGGAATATGAAAAAGTCCTGGAAATTAAGCCTAGTTCAGATGAAAACACTATACTACATCCACCAAATTGCCATCCGAGGTAGCTCACCAGAGTCCAGAATTATCACCATGACTTTAACAAACTACAAAAAGCACATTGATTTTTTTTATTTTTTGCCAGAAAGCATTTTGCATGTTGTAAGTGCCCAATAAAGCATTACCTGGATGCAAGACAAACGTCCACTATGCTTTTAAATGTCAATGTTTCTAGCTGGGTGAGACTTTTTAAAACATTAAGTAAAAAAAAAACCAACAACTAGTATTTAGAAATATATACATAATGTAATCTAGGAAAAGATTAGAAGGAGCTGTGTGAAAATGTTATGTTCTTTGGTTAATGAGTCATTTCCTTCCTTATTCTTTTTTTATTTTTCAAATTTTCTTTACTAAGCATATTATTATTTATATAAGCACACAAAAGGTTAAAACCTTTTCTTCCACCCACCACTAAAATGTCCCTGTTTTTTTTTTTTTAACCAAAGGAGAGGATATCCTTATAACAAAAGGAAATCGACTCCAAGAAGTATAGCCTGTTTCCTAAAGATTTAGCTCAAGACAGGTTTTCTTTCCTTTCATTATCATCAAAACAATACATGGTCCCTGCACAAAGTTCAAAAAAAAACAAAGATAAGGAAATGAAAATCATCCATAATTCCACCATCTAAAGATAACCACTGACTATATTTTTCAGTCTTTTTTCTTCGTAGATAATGGAAAAAAAATCAGTCTTAGTCTTTTTAAATTCAGCTATTTATACTTTTAAAAAAATGAAAATGGGACCATAGTTTTTCATATTATTAATATTCTATATAGTTTAAACAATTCTCTAGGGTTCACATTGACTTTTTCTAATTTTTCAAAATTATAAAAAATGCTGCAATAAACATCTTTTAAGTTAATCTTTGTCCAAATCCATGATTACTTCCTTAAGACAATTTATGTGAATTTCTGAAAGAATTAGATCTTTAGAGTTTTTAATACATATAATACCAAACTGTGCCCCAGAATGATTGTACCAGTTTGCACTTTCATCAGCAGTTTAGGAGGACAGCCATTGTTCTGAGCTGTAGTATTTCTAAAAATATATTCGCTGGTATGACAAATGTTTTTATTTATATTTTTCATTTGTTCATAAATCTATATGGTTCATTTGTTCAGTCAAATCACTCATATTATCTTTTTATTTTTAAGAACTATACATTATGGTAAGCTTGCTTTATCATATGTTGCAAAAAATTTCCCAGCGTATTATTTACTTTTTAATTTTCCTTGTATTTTTTGGTGTATAAGCATCTTTTTTTTTAATCAAATCCATCAATCCTTCCTGCCTTTGAGGTCCACCCTAACGTTATATAGTCACTAATATTTCTTCTGATATTTTATTGTTTATATTAAGTATTTAACCTACTTAATGTAAAGATATGAAGTAGACACCTACCTGTTTTTTTTCCAGAAGGAAAGCTAACTGAAAAAATTCTTTTCTTACCTGAGCATCATACTTCACAGCAGCAGAGAGCAGAGCAATGGCATTCTCCTCACAGATGCCTTGCTTGATAGTTTGCTGGCAGAGCTTTTTCAAACGATTTTCTCTATAAAATGTAGCCAAATCTAGCAATCCTGGTGGAAAGAGATGTTTATGTGGGTGGAGTGACTTCAAGCATCCTAATTTAAACTCACTCAACCCTTAAGATTTTTTTTGACATTATTTTGAATATAATCCTTAGTGAAGGCTGTATAGATAGACTTGTGCTCATACACTCTGAGCAAGGGGCTTTCCCTAAAACATGGCTGAACTGAGCAAATACAATAGACAAACAAGCAGCCATGGAAAATAAGAGCAATGAACAAGGCTTTCATATGTTTCCTAGAAATGCCCCTCTAATGATCTGTCCGCCTGCATTACCAATGTCTGCTCTGGGGTCATTTCCATCAGCATACATACATGCTATAATAGCGCTCATCTCTTTAAAAAAAAAAAAAAAAAGAAAAACCTGTCATGGGGACATGTCTGCCTCTCATCACCCTCCCCATTTCTCTGCTCCTCTCTACAGCAAACCTCCAGGGGAGAGTCCTCTGCTTGCTGCCTCCATTTTCTGAGCTCCCATTCTCATCTCAAGCCATTCCAGGCATAATCCCATCCCCTCCACCCCTGACATCACACCTGGGATTGTCACTAAAGGCTGCCACAATGCCAAGTCCAACGCTATTCTCCAGTTTCATCTTACTCAAGAATGACACAAAATTTCCTGTGGCTGATGATCATCCCTTTCTTGAAATGCTTTGTTACTTGCTTGTGTTTTTCTTCTTTTTAATTAGTTACTCTTAAGTCTCTTGGCTAGACCATTTTTCCTGACTTTCAAATGTTTGAGTGCCCCAGGGTTCAATCCTCATATTCTTATTTCACTTATTCCCCTAAGTCAGTGGTTGCCACGGACCTCACGGACCACCAGTGGTCCTCGGACCATCAGTTGGCAACCACTGCCCCTAAGTGATTCCAGCCCGGTGTTTCAAATGCCATTAATTGTTATCTACCCTATAAGACACTATGAAGTACTCCAGTCAGGAATGGCCAGTTAGCATTTGAAAGACCCTTGTCAGGAGTTTCAGATACTACCTAAATCTTCAGAGAGAGCTAGAAATACTTTGTTATTGGTGAAATGAGTAGTGTTCAGGATATGTGGCTTGGCTCTAAATATCGTGAGCGCCTTTTTGCCTTTGCATGAATGGCATTCAAGCATCATGAGCTTAAGTAGTCCTATACCTGTGGAGTGGTACATTCGCTAGGTCTACATCCAGTCCTAGGCTGGTGAAAAGGTTAGCTAAACCCTGCTACTAGAGTATTGTTACATCTACTTCATGCTAACCTTTCAAGCAAACTACTTTATAGAGGGCCTAATGGACAGATAGCAGGGATTTCATCAATCTCACAACATTTACTGTTCTTGTTTGTGTCTGCTATTGAGTTTTGTAAGTGTGGAAGAATTTGGTCAGAAACTTGCTTTCATTGTAATATGACACACATTATCAAAGTTATGAAAGAAAAGCCTGTGGTCCATTGGAGGATGCTGAAACCATAAGAGTTGTGAATGGCTCAGTGGTTTCTGGTCAGTTTTCAACAACTCCCAAACTCATACCAACAGCCCTGTGTACTCCCCAGCTTCAGACTCACATTGACCAGGACTCACAAGAACTGCCCTAAGACAGGACCCTGCCCCACGTCCCTGCTCAGGAGGCCTCACTCTGTACTGCCAGGCACACCCCTCATCACCAAAGTGTGGTTAAGGAGCCGTGTACCCATTCTTACTTAGGGCACACTTTGGGTGTCTGGGACCCTGGGATTCCCCGACTACCTGGCCCTGAGACCACATGTGTGGGTATTCCCTCCCCTCCAAACCATACCACCAATGCACAGCCCCTCAGCCTCAAGGGGTGGCCTGAGGTGGGGGTGGCTGGAGCTTGGACATGCAGGCTGTGGTGCCCACACACCCCTTGTGATGCAGGATGTAGCTGGTGGAGGGGAAAGGAAGGCACCTGGCTGCAAGCTGGAGGCCAGAGGCCTGTCCCTCCCATGCCACTGTGTTCAGCACAGAACTCCCAGGAGTCGCACAACTCTAAATTCCGACTAAAACTTAACCTGGCCTTTCAGTTCTCAATGAAGGTATACTTTTCAAGGTCTGAGGATTGAACATATTTTATCTGAAGTTAGCATCACATCTCACTAAGTTTTTAGATGTATGATACGTAGCCCTTTATTTGGACTCTTGCCCAGGGCCCTGCAAATATTAGGGGTGAGCTGATAAAAATAACTGCCACTTGAATGTTTAATCAACTCCTTTGACTTTTCAAACTCAAGAGCAGCATCTTTCCATCGTCTTCATCTCAGTGAATGATACTTCATTACCCCAGCCATTCAGGCCGAGCACCTCAGCACAGTCATCCTTCTCTTCTCCTTACAATCCTTCTCTTCTCCTTACACCCACACCCCAGCCATTGACAAATACCATCAGCTCCATCTTTAAAATATCCAGATCTGGTCTCTTCAACGCCACCACTGCTACACCACTAACCCAGGGTGCCATCATGTCACACCTGAGCCACTAGAATTACTGATCTTTTAAAAACAAATCACATCATTCCTATGGTATAAGCTACTTGTTGCTTCTCCACTACACACACAGTCATGGCCACCTGGATATGACCACACTTTCCCCCACCTCCTATGCATCTGGCTGGGTTATGGCCTTGGCCAGCTCTGATCCATGGTTTGAAGTAAGGGGAACTTCCAGGACCCTTCCTCCTTAAGATTCTGGGCATTTTCCCTTCACCCTTTTGTCGCTGTCCCTCCATCCTGTTACCTGTAATGCAAATGCGGCCTTGGACCATGAGCACAGGGGCCACATATAGCAATGCCCTGCCCTGTATCCCTGTGTGAGAGAGAAAGATACTATCTTGTTTAAGCCACTCTTCCCCCCCCCCCCCATTTTACTGTCAGAATTAAAGCAAATCCTAAATAGCACAACCCTATGCTCAAAACCTCACACCAAGAAAAAAACTCAAGCTCCTCGCCATGGCCTTCACGGTTAGGTATGATCTTGCCCAGCTCTCAACTCCTTAATTCCTCCCAGTATAAGTCTTGCTCAATCCATTCCAATCACCCTGGCCTTCCCCCTCCTCTTCCACATGCTAACTTTGTTCCTGTCTTAGACTTCTGCACTTACTGTTACCAATGCTGAGTGCTCTTCCTTGGGTATCTGCATGGCCCACTCATGACTCCCCAGGGCTCTGCTCAATGCACTTCCCAATGGAGGCTTCTCTTGACCCTCCTGACTGACTGCTTGCATTTATTGCTTAGGGCTGGCCTCCCTCATCTGAGTACAAGCCCCTCAGGGGTAGGGCCTCAGTCTGTCTCTGCACAGATGCCCAAAGGAGCTGCAGCACACAGTGGGCATGGGCACTAAAACACTGTGCAAGAAAGGAAGGAAACTGTAAAACTTCAGAAATCAGACTTTCGTTTACCTGAGTAAAATTACATGCTAATTTGGTTTAAAAAAATGTTATATTGACATGTATAAACATGTCAAATGAATGTTTAAAAATTTGGGGATTGAACTCTTTCTTTAGTTCCTGACAGCTGTAAACTGAAACTTAGTATGTATTGAACTCTGCATCCATGGGGTACCCTGTGTTGCTTTTGTAATGTCAGGTGAACACTTCTGTCCCAAAGCCATCTGGGATGGAAATTCACAGATACAGAGACCAGCAGGGCTTATGATGTGGATTTTATCTGTTTTATAATGAAAACATCTTGAGGGCAATAGATATGATAGCTAAAAGTTATGTACAATACTAACATATAGTAATTAAGAGTGGTACCCGCTGCACAGTGATGATAATTCATCTATCTCTTCTTTTATCTATTCAGTCAACCTCTGAATGATTAGTAACAAGGGAAAAGAGTTTGGGTTCAACACACAAAGAGAGAACGCCTTCTGCGATTGCACTCACAGCGACATCCATTTAGGCTCCACAGAAATCACCTTGCCAAGTTACCCAGCACTTTGCCAATCTCTTGGTAAAGTCTGGTGGTAATTACCTACTGCCTCCTCAGGGGGAAGGCTGATGCTGTCTGTGTACAGGTATTCCAGGAAGGCTCGGTAAACAGGATATGAAAATTCACTCATTTCTACAATATCATCCTCACTGTCATCCAAGGAAGAACGAAAATGCTCACACCTGAAGGAAGAAAAGCATGTCAGGTCCTAGCTTCTTGGCAAGAACAGTTAACACAAGGAGCACACCCCTGTGGGGCTTAAAGGGGGAGAACCTAACAAGGAGAAAGGAAACACAACATTACACATGACACTCGCCAAGTTGCACACTTTTATGTCCCTGCCCTGGCCCCTCACTTCCTCTGTGTCCAGTTTTCAACCAACCATTAATTTAACAAGGTTGCAAATGCAAACCTGCTGTGGGAGAGCTGCCCCTGCAGACACACTGGATGGAGACAGTGCTGCCTCCCTGAAAGTAACCACACCGTGTCCAGGGAGCAGCATTTATGGAAGTCAGATGGGTTTATTTTTGTAACTGCTGAGTAATTTTGTTTCTTCACTTCCTGTTACGGTTTGAATTGTCTCTCATAAAATTCATCTGTTGAAGTCCTAACATCAGAATATAACAATATCTGAAGAAAGGGTCTTTCTTTACAGAGGTTAGTTACCAAGTTAAAATGAGGTCATTAGAGTGGACCCTAATCCAATATGACTGGTGTCCTTATGAAAAAGAGGGAATTTGGACACAGGTGTGTACACACACAGGGAGGACGCCATGTGAACACTGCATTTATGTTGCCACAAGCCAAGGAACGCCAAAGATTGCCAGAAACCCCCAAAAAGCCAGGAGGCTGGTGGACCA